CCCCAAAACCCCAAAACCCCAAAACCCCAAAACCCCAAAACTAAGAAAAATAATTGAAAATAATTAGAAAAATAGGAAAAATGAATAAGAACGGATCTCGGTCCCAAAATTTGCGAATTCTCAGTCCCAAAGGAGGGAATCCCAAGAAGGCCAAAGAGGAATCTCAGGCTGCTCTAGAACATATCAGTAGTCCAAGTTGTAAGTGTCTCTTGATTTCATTGACCAACTTATATTTCTTGAGTATATTAGAACTATTCCTGGGGTTCCCCAGGAATAAATACAAATGTTCTTAAGAAACTCTCGATGATTTTGAAGAGTAAATCGATACATATAGCAAGGATATAATCTTTGATAAGGAAGTCCATAAGATGTTGCACATTCCTGGCATTAAGCAACCAGATTTCGCTTGGAAAAATGACCTTGAACCACTCACAAATACTTGGAAGGAGAATGATATCAAGGCTAGCACAAAGATGATGAAGAGTTTCATAAAAAATAAGGTATTTTAGTGGAGTTTTAGACTGTGTAGATCAGACCAAGCAAGTGGCATAAGCCACATATAAGGAAAAAATTGCTCAAGATGGACTATATAAAACCAAACCTCAAAAGTAGCTTTATTTAGCATGAATTTTAGGGAATGAAAGCCAGAAGTTCATCACTAGTAGGGCTATTGATGAGTTCGATGCGTTTAACGCCCAGAGCAGTAAGGACAGATCTTGTCTTAACTGTATAGAAGGAGTCAGGTTTGCTTCCTTAGGTGGTTCTGGTAAAACACCAAGAACGACCAGAGCGTCTAGGCCCACAAATTATTTCAGTATTCTTCCTTTGTAAGTTTATAGACTATATACCTCAGAGTAAAGAGGACATTGATCTCGCAAGATTGAGGAAACAGGAGATAGAGTACTTGAAGAATCTCGCAGAGTCAGGCAAGAAGATACCCAAGGATAAAATCAATATTTTCAAGCTTCTTATTTTAAAAGAAGATCCGCTCAAGATAGGTGAAGCTATGATTAAGAAACAGAATTTTAGAGGGCCTAACACTGCTAATTTCAGCACCAACAAGAGGTAATTTTCCAAATGAATTCTTTAGAAAGAATCTTGTGAAGCTTAAGAAGCCTATCAATGATCCATTAACCTCAAAACATGAAGACGCTATTGAGAAGGCAAGGCTGAGAATGGAGAGGAAGATGGAGATAAAACTGGTATCCCAAGCTGCTCAGAACTTCAACATTCATCTGCATTTCAGGAACCTCAAACGTGAGAATCAAGAATACTTGGATAAGCTGAATATGCAGATTAGTAATAAGCTGGATTTATATATAAACCCTACGAAGCGTGTGATGTTCAAAGTCAAACGGAACCAGAAAAATGAGTTCGACACCACGTCCTCGGACATGTCTTCTTCTATGTCCAATTCAGGGGTACATTTCTACTAATCTGTAGGAAGAAGGGAAGGTCAAGGAGAAAAAGGCTGCCATTCCAGTCTTCATTAAGAACAAGTTGATTAAGTTAGATACCAAGCATAATAAGTACGGAAAAATCTCAGGTACTGTTCTTCTCACTTGTAGGAGAAAAAGGTAATAAAATGAGTAAAGAACAACTGATGAAGCTCACCAAGGCTCTCTCTCAAGTAAGATTTCCAATAAATATTGCTCTAGAGCTCCCTCGTTAGGAAAAAGAGGAGTAGTGTTGAACCTAAGTTCAGGCAAGCAAAGCAACAAGGTAAGCATATCTGTGGCGATAGTTTAGCAGAGATCCAAGAAACCGAAGAGGAGGATACAAACAAAGAGGATAATAGTGGAGAATTTAAGACTACTAAGCAGATCATCAACGACTACGTGAGGGAGTTTAACAATACAATACCAAGTGTCCTTAACCTTTAGTATTGGAAATTTACAGTAAGAATCTTATAGTATCTTGTATTACCTCACCTAGGAGGAAACAAATATTAAGCCTCAGGAATGCTTTGAGTGTTCTAGGCCAGTCTTTTCTGCAGTATATCTGATTAGGTTACCATACTTAGCTCCTTAGTATCATACGACATGATGTCAGGATTTATTTGAGTAATCAAACATTTTCAGCTTATGTATTAAGAAAAGGGGTTTTGGGGTTTTGGGGTTTTGGGGTTTTGGGG